AATGTTAGATTTTCTCACCTTAGCCCATATTTCACTTGGATTTTTTTTCTGTATTTTCTAAACTTTCCTTTGTGTTTCAGTCTGGATATTTACTTCTTATCTCTCTTTCAGTTCATTGGTTTGTTTCAGCTGTGTCTATTCTGATGTAAAATGTATCAAGTGAGTTCTTAATACAGCTCTAAAATTTCCATTTGTTAATTAATTTCCAATTCTTTGTCAAGAATATCAATCTTATCAATTAATTCCTTGCACATGTTAATTATTATTATTATTATTATTTTAAATCTGATGATGCAGTGGCACATGCCTGTAATCCCAGTGACTTGGGAGGCTGAAGCAGGAGGACTGCAATTTCGAGGCCAGCATCAGCAACTTAGCAACACCCTGCCTCAAAATTAAATATAAAAAGAAGTGGGGATGGGGGCTGCGGATGTGGCTCAAGCGGTAGCGCGCTTGCCTGGCATGCGTGCGGCCCAGGTTCGATCCTCAGCATCACATACAAACAAAGATGTTGTGTCTGCCGAAAACTGAAAAATAAATATTAAAATTCTCTCTCTCTTAAAAAAAAAGTGGGATGTAGCTCAGCAGCAAAGTGCTCCTGATACAATTCCTAGTACCAGAAAAAAATCTGATGATTAATATTGGAATTTCCTATGAGTTTAGCTTTAATATCACTCTTTCATGTTGGTTTTCATTCCTGTCTTGTTTTATATGTGTGGCTATTTTTGAAAAGTAGACATTACATATGGAAATTTTTAGAGATAATCTATGTAATGTTGTCTTTTACCAAGAAGTGGTTTACTTCTGTTTCTGAAAGGCTAGTAGCATTAGCAATCTCAAATAATATTAATTCAATCAGAGTTTCATATTATTTTAATCTTTAGGATTTGACTCTTCACAGTCCCAATCCTAAGTCTGGGATTTTACCAATACTCATCCCCATTCTTGGCAGCACCTGACTCCATTTTTTTCACTCCTATCTATAAAAAGTGCTGCTTAGCCTCTCAGATCCTCCTTTCAGAACCCATGGATATCATTAGGGGATAAGCAACCCCAAATATCAGGCCAGGCTTAACTCTCAGGGCTCCCTTTCTCTATTCTATCTTGGTCCCATAACTTATCACTTCTCTAGTAACCTTCTTTCTAGTCCCTCTGAATTTCATTTCATTTTTCTAGCTGTTTCTCAGTAGAATGATGTGTTTGAAATAACACATTCCACCCATGGCATGTTAAACTCTCCTTCATGACCCTTTTTGTCCCAAGCTGTCCAAGGTATTAAGTCTACTATTCTGTGCATGGTTGTCAGTGTGCTCTTACAGATCCAAATCTATCCAAACTTGAACACACATTTTGGGCTTAACTTCAACTAAAAGCTACATGATATTAAATAAGTTATACAGGTTTCTGTAATTAATTCATAAAATAAGTCTAGTAAATCTACTTCACAGGGTCAGTACAATCCTACTATAATAGCAGTTAGGACTTATTGAGCATTATCATCACTATTAGTTCTATTAAAAATAATATGTAAGTCAACCTATGCTTGAATCTGATCAATTTTCATTCTGGTAAAATATATATACATATTTTTAACTTCAAAGCTTGGTCATGCTGTTCCTCAATTTTCCCTTTTCCTAATGCCATCCAATACATGCTGTAAAGTCCAAATTAAGATGAACCTCTACTATAACAGGCATGGAAAAAAATCCATACTGATATGGACTTGTTCTAATTCCCATCCACTTAACAGGACACAATTATCAACTACTCCCTAATTTTCTGTTGTTCCCTTTCCAAAACTATAAAGTACTTGCCAAAACAACCAATAAAGTTTAGATCCTTTATAATATAATAATATCAAACATATTAGAGGTTCTCAAAACATAGATGTAGCTCAGTATAGAAAAGGAAAGTTCTTCATTTGTGATAGGTACATTTGAATATTCCAAAGAACACAGAATAGAGGAGAGGTACAGAGGTAAAAGAAAATAAAAAGCACACAATAGAAAACTTTTGTGAAAAAGTATTTACTTAAAATCTTCACTGTAAACCTGACTTCAATTAACCTAGTTGCATTATTTAAATATGATAATTCAAATTGAGATAGGTAGGAACAAGAGGGAATACACTCTTGGACCTTTATCCATAACCTATTACCTCCTAAAATCTTTCCCTACTGTCCCCAACTTCAACAATGTTTGAACTATGCCCTTCCTTACCCTTTTAATCAAATTCTACCACAGAAACAAGATGATACCAAGATGTCTCCAAGGATCTTCCACAAGAAACTCCAAAAAAATTGACCATACTTATGACTAGAGGAAAAATACTACACCCTAGCAGTCCTACCTCAGCTTTGCAATGTAATGCTAGCTCCTTTCTTTATTCAGCCTGAATTTTCTCTTAATCAGTTGCTGTTCCCCTTTCTCTTCAAGGAGAAACTACCACTGCTTTTATCTTCCCAATTAAAGCTTTGACTGTGTGTTCATAATCTTTGACCCAGTTTCATTTCTATTGTCACTGGGTCAGGAGTTCCCATCTCTGGTATCAAAATTCCAAAGTTCCATTTTTACAATTCAAAATTTAGAATTTAATAGGCACTTTCTGGTTCCCTAAATAGGCCCTTCCTTTCACTAGGGGAAAAAAGTAAAATTCTACTGTGAATTCTTTTATCATTTATGTTCTCTCAGCATCCATTTTAAATATGTTTAACTTTCTCATACAGGGCTTAGTCACCTTTGACACATTTCTAGTTCAACACCTTATCTTGGTTCCTGGACATAGGTGATCCAGATATTTGCCTTATATCACTTTTTCCTGGTGTCCACCTCCCTAAGGGACAGTACATATGGCCAACTTGACTGGCCCCACTGACCCTCATGCCCCACATGGTCTGTACAAATATGCCAGTGACCACCTTTCAGTAAGAATGACTTCTTTAAACTTGTCCTTGCATTAAACCCATAAAACAGAATTCCCCACAGGCAATCTATTTGAAAAAGTTTTGGATACAATTATGGTGTTGGCCCATAGGTCCCTTCCTATCTCTCCCTGCCTAAGTTATCTGATCTCTGTGAGTATGGCCTCCAGGCATGTGTATCTCCAGGGGCCAGAAATAAAAATATCATTATTTCTAACTTATGACTCTCCTAATCATTTAAGGGGTACTCCCCATTTTAAAGATCCTAAGTTACAACAAACCCTAACTAGTTCCAGAAGTTAGCTAATATTAATATACGAAAAATATTCCCCTAAATACCAGTTATTAAAATTATAATAGTTTTGTTTTATTTATTAAAAAAACCCAGCTCATATAAAAAAACAGTTTTTACCCTAAGTGTTAAAAGTCTTTCATTTGGATTAAACTATCATTACAATTATGAGTGAAAAATTGATCAAAAAATAAAGTATGTTCAAAATTTTGATAGGAAATTATAATTCAAAACTCATGTCTTCATGAGCTAAATGGCTGCTCCTCCTACAATTACTTCATATATTCAAGAATGAAAATAACCAACTGCTAGAATAAAGAAGATTCAACCTAAAAAAAGAAAAAAAAAACTGCTCATGACATTGAGAAAAAAAGGTTTTAAAAAATGTACTTTTGGGGCTGGAGATGTGGCTCAGCGGTAGCGCGCTCGCCTGGCATGCGTGCGGCCCGGGTTCGACCCTCAGCACCACATACCAACAAAGATGTTGTGTCCGCCGAGAACTAAAAAATAAATATTGAAAAAAAAAAAAATGTACTTTTATGTGATAGAATCTTTGGTTACAATTTTTTGAAATTTTTTGAGTATTTTTTAATCACAAATATAGAACATACACTAAATGTTTTCTTATAAACATTAACATTTAATATCTTAATTTCTTTTTAAAATATTTTATTAGTTATTCATGGATCTTTATTTTATTCATTTATATGTGATGCCGAGAATCGAACCCAGTGCCTCACACGTGCTAGGCAAGCACTCTATCACTGAGCCACAACCCCAGCCCAATATCTTAACTTCTTTATAAAAGAATTTATGGTACTCTTACAATATACCCTTTTCACATATCGTTTGCTTTAATATTGCTTTATCCCAATCAAAACTAATGTAACTATATTACTAAAATAACTATAAAGTAAAAATAGCTCACTCTAGTTGGGTGGGGGTGCAGACCTGTAGTCCCAGCGCTCAAAAGCCTAAGATATCCAGACCAGCCTGGGCAACATAGCCAGAGCCATTCTCAAAAGGAAAATAAAGGCCTACTCTATAAATCAATCCCATCTCTGACAATTTCTACTTCATTCCCTATCCTACAACCTGTTATTTTACTGATTAAAAAAAATTGTGCTTTGCTATTTCTGACAGAAGTGTTTTAATGATTATAGACTTAGAACACAATTTTCCTTTTAGGAAGTGGCAGTATCATTCAGTGTTCACTAATTATTACATGCTAGAAAAATAACCATGGTCATGTATATCTAAGATGTGATATCTAAAATTAATATATTTGAGATTTGAGTTGTTTAACCCATGCCAAAATGGCAAAATTTGTAGCATAAGCAGCTAAAATTATGATATTTCATTTTTTATAATCTCAGAAAAGTAAATCTGATTCTTAAAGGAAAGAAGAAGTACACAAGCACTTTATAGATAGGTGACTATGAACATTTGTAATTTTGATTTGAGGGTAGGAAGATGTGGAATCTCATTTAGATATCATAAAAACAGGAATTATAAAACAGTTCTGGTAATAGTCACCCATTTTTGTAATACAAATAATCAACAAAAGGAAAGAATGTGGGAAAAAGTTAATTCAATGTGTGAATAAATATGATCTGAATATTATAAATATTATAAATAAATAATATTATAAATAAATATTCAGAATTCTTCTACTCATCCCAGATTATATAAAACATGACTACATACTTTTTTAGCAAGATATTTTGGTGTGACCACATTTGTAAGTGGAAGAGGCCCTGTACTTGACCTCCAAGCATAATGGCTTACCCACAGCATTGTAGAGAGGCTCTCCTGTTAACTTGTCCCAGACTACAGTGGTTTCCCTCTGGTTGCTGACGCCAATAGCTTTAAAGCAAAAGTTAAAGAGAGTAGAAAATTAGCTTTAGGAGAACAGTTCTCAACGTTTTTTATAGGCACAACTAAACAAACAATTCCCCCCAAAATTTTGGAAGATTTGTAGTGGTATTAAATTTGTTTTCATTGAGTGGCCCTAAGAAAAACAAACACATAATGTCAAGTTTTTCTTTTTATTTCTACATATGCCTTGTAGCTTCAACACTAGCACACAGATAGTCAGTTAAGTACCCAAAGGAAAGGCTCTGAGATTGCTTTAAGGAATGCAATAACTTTCCAAGATTATAATACCTAATTTATTATTCTGAGCAGACCAACATTCACCTCATTCATTTATTTACCAATTGGTATAAAAAATTTCCCTTCCCATATGTGTGTGGTTGTGTATATGTATGAAAATGTGTGGGTGCATACCTAAATTTTAAGAAGTAGCCCAGACAAAATCCCTCATGCTGAGCAACCTCATATTATCATTGGTTTGAAATAAAGTTTTACTTCCATATTTTAATAATGTGTCACAAAACCTAAGAGTTTGAATTAGGCGCAAACAATATGTAATGGCATTTACATTATACTAACTACACATAACTCAGGTGCTATATATTTACAATAACATTATAAGTATAAATCTCTACCATCTTATTCAGATCCATTTGATTCTGGTAAATCAGAGATTGTCAGACTTGGCTGTAGTTTAAAATCAACTGGGGAGCTTCTTAAAAAAAAAAAAAAATCAACGTCTAAGCCCTGGTCAAAACATTCCAATTTAACTGATCTGGGGTGGGATCTGAACATTGTATTAGTTCTTATAACTCCCTAAGTCATTCTAACATGCATCCCAGAACACTCTGAGCCAAAGAATGGAGCACTTCCTGAATTTAAGATGAGGACAGACCTTAAAGGTTATATAATCAGTTACACTTTTATGCATAAATCTCCTCTAAAATCATCTGTCATGTGACCACACAGACTGTACTTCTGGTAACAAGATACTACAGCTCTCAAGGCAGACCAATCTCTACTAGTCAACTTTGGTATTTAAAAAAAAAAATCCTGAGGCTTAGTGGTAGAGTATTTGCTTAAGATTTCATGAGGCCCTGGATTTGATCCTTAGCACCACAGAAATAAAATTTAAAAACCCTTTTCCTTGTGGCTTCCACCTACAGATCTTAGCCATATTCATTGGAGATATTTAAAATATAAAGTTAATCTTCTTTCCATATGCCAGTTTTTCAAAAACTTCAAGTAGCTGCTTTGTAGCTTAAGTCTTCCCTTCCACTGTCCAGGCTAAACAATCCAATTTCCTCAGCTGCCTCTGTTTCCACATGACAAGTTCCTTTACTACAGCTCCTGGGAATATACAACTATCTGTCCATATCATTCAAACTGTAGACGCAGAATAAAATACACTATTCTAGCAGTGTTTGGAGTAGCTCAGAGCTGAGGATGACCATCAGTTCTCTTGTTCTAATACCATTTATCCAATGTGGATTTACTTGCTTCATCTGACACCTTTTGTAGAGGTACAAGGTACAAAGATGACTGAACTTCTCTCCCAAAGATACTTAGAGGCATAAGTTAAAGGTAAGAGATCCTGGGTTAGTTGGTTGTACAAATAGAACAATTATAGGAAGAAAGGAGAGAAAATGAGGACTGAGGCTGAAATTCAAAGGGACATGGTTGTGATGTGCAGAGACAGGAGGTGGCATGAATAGCACAGGCAGAGGGAGGAGCCCCAAGTGGGACAGAATCTATTTCCCTTATGATTAAGGAAATGGGGCACAGGGGGGCACAAAATCCACACATTAAGTACAGAAATAAGAAATGAAGGAATTAAGGTCCTAGAGACTCACCTTTCTCTGTGCAGTAGGAGGCAAAGTTATATACTAAAATGAGGCCAAGCAAAAGCAGTATCAAAGAGTTTGGAGCAGGGCTGAGCATGGTGGCACACACCTGTAATCCCAGTGGCTCAGAAGCAACAAGTTAGGAGGAGTGTGAGTTTAATGCCAGCCTCAGCTATTTATCAAGGCCCTAAGCAACTCAGCAAGATCCCGTCTCTAAATAAAAAATATAAAATGGCTCAGAGGTTGAGTGTAACTGGGTTCAATTCTTGGTACAAAAAAAAAAAAGTTTGAGGCAGTCAGGAGAGGTGACATACCTGTAATCTCAGCTAATTTCGAGGCTGAGGCTGAGGCAGGAGAATCTAAAGTTCGAGGCAAGCCTGGAGAACTTAGGAAGACCATGTCTCAAATGTCTCAAAAAAATTAACTAAATAAAAATGGCTAGGGGTGTAGCTCAGTGCCTAGCATGCGCAAGACTATAGATTCAATTCCTAGTTCTACAAAGAAAAAAAAAAATTTGCAGGGGTTTGGGGCTCTTCAGTAGAATTTAGGCGCTGAAGCCAGACAGTTGAGGTTCAAATTACAATTCTGAGTTTCCTATTTTCTTTTGTCATAGTTTTGTCTCCTGTAAAATGAAGGGGCAAAAAAGTTCCTACCTTACTAGTAGGGTTATACTGGTAAGTCGATACATGTTAAAACAGATACCTGGCACATAGTAAGTACTAAATGTTACCTACTGCAGTTGCCATTATCATCATTACTGAGGAGAGAGTGACATAATAGTTGCAGAAAATGGGACACAGTTAAGCAGACACATAAAGGAATTTCCCAGAAGCTCTGTGGGTACAACAGTGGGACTTTGGCAGTAGGTTGCTACAGTGGAGTTTTGTAAACTTGTTAATTTAGTGACAACTTTTCAATGCAAAATCAGAATAAATTATAATGGTAAAATAACGTCTCCTATTTTCTCCTTACTACATTAATTTTCCTGTAAACCAGCTGGCTATTCCCTTAGCTACAATTCTTGAGTCACCATTAGGACAGGCATCAAATAGTGCTACCTTCTTTATTGGCTCCTCCTGGACTTGTACACAGATTCTAATCTACAGCTATTTCCATCTGATTCTTTGGTCATGCGATCCTCCCCGACTACTCAATCTCCTCTATCTTAATTCTATTCTTTCATGCCAAGTAAAATTGCTTTCCTTGCAGACAATCAAAGTCCAGCAAAATAGCTTTTCAGTATTCTTTCAGCCAGCACATCTTTATTACCCATTTCTCCCCAAGGCACACAGGTCTTTTGCAATGACTGAGTTTTTCCAAACCTCTTCCTATTTTACCCTAAAATCTATGTCTTAAAAAAACTTTCATGACTATTAATCCCAATGTATATGCCATTTTTAATGGCTCCTAATTTTCATCCCCTTTCTCAGAATAATATATGCAAGTTTTGTAATTCTCCACCATAGTTCATCTGCACCACATAGAGGCAGGCAAAAATTAACAGGTTAAAAAAATAAACCCCAAAAACTTTATACAGTTTCATACAGAAGATATGAACTTTGGCTGGGGCTGGGGCTCAGCAGTAGCACACTTGCCTAATGTGTGAGGCACAGGGTTCAATTCTCAGCACCACATATAAATAAATAAAAGGTCTATCAACAAATAAAAAATACTAATAATAAATGCAAAGGAAGAGAAGGCTGGGAGTGACAGAAATGTGTAAATGTTGGGTAGGGTAAGGCAGTGAAGGAATGGATTTGTGAGTTTTCCTTTTCTCAGAACAAAGTAACTGCTTTAGATACAAGAGAATTTAATTCTTTAGAATTCTGAGCCTTTGTTACTAACACAGTTTATGTTTTATTTTGCTTTTTTGCATGAAAGAGAATGAATGGGAATATTTGCTATTGTAATTCTTTATACTTACTGATTCTTTCAGTCCTATGACACAGGTGCTTGACTGAAAGTTTAGTAGGAAAGAAGCAGAATATTTTCTTGCTTTGGGCTAGAATGTACAGTTAAATTTGAGAATGAATTTTAATTTTGAGGACATTGTTCATAGTAATCTGAAATCAACAGACTTTTTGAAAGATGAAGACAACTAAAACCAATGAAGCAGGAATTTGTGAAGGAAATACAACCAGATATGTATGATGAGCTCTGTTAATAATTACTAGGTAAGATAATAAATGCATCACTCATCAGCTGGCAAAGCCAATTTACCTGCCACACAGCAAATATATAAATAAATGGTTTTTGAGATTATCATCAGCATAGCTCAGGGGAAAAAATGCACTGGTCTAGGAATTACAGGAGCTGTACTTTAATGCTATTGAACACTAAACAGCAGCATGATCTCTAGTAAGTCCCCTTCCCTCATTGCAGCTCGAGGAAATTGGTCTGTATTAGTGAAGATCTTTTAGAGCTTTAACAATTTGAGATTTAGATCTCTACACAGGAAAGTGAAAGCTTGCCCATTGGCAATGCCAATTCAATAAATTATCAGAAGAAAAGATTAACACAACTGGTCTTGTATAGAAGGGCTTGTGAGACACTTTTCATCCCTGGCCATAGGCTGGTAATTATGGAGAGAAAAAAATGCTGGGTCACCTTGGCTCAGGTAGGGGTTTCACATTGGCCAAAGAAAGAGGAGTGTAAAGAAGAGGGCTTCATGTTCAATTACAGACCAGTTAGTGCAAGTAGAAGACAAGTCCCTTGGGCAGTTGTGTACATCTTCATATAAACCACACACACACACACAAAAAGTGGAAAAATGAGTGGCACCCGAGTGGGTGCAGAAGGAATAACATATTACAGCCCAACTTAACTGTAAGGAAGGTATAACAATGTCAATGCATAGTCAGTCCCCCTGTACTCCACATTCTGAACATGACTTTAAGCCACGTAGATCACCTATGTCTTGGGAATGACTATTTTGACAGTGTTTCTGATTGCCTATTATTTATCTGCACTGCTTAGAACATGAGAGATGTAAACATAGCTTTAAGAAATGATCAAGAGCAATCACTTTGATGTACAACTCATCTAAAATTTAGTGATTGCAACTCTTAAGTTTGAAGTACCCCAAATTAGATGTAGGGATAAGACAAGTGTATGATTAAAACATGAATGATCCCCATATGAGGCACACACCCATAATCCCAGTGACTTGGGAGGCTGAGGGAGGAGGTCACAAGTTTGAGGCCAGCCTCAGCAATTTAGTGAGACCCTGTCTCACGATAAAAAATAAAGGTCTGGGGATGTAGTAGTAGAGGACTTCTGAGTTAAATTCCCCATACCACAAAAGATACATGATATTAAAAACTGCTAATAGCAAAGCACAGTGGTGTACACCTGTATTCCCAGCAGCTTGGGAGGTTGAGGCAGTAGTGTCATGAGTTCAAAGCCATCCTCATCAATTCAGTGAGGCCCTAAACAACTCAGTGAGACCCTGTCTCTAAATAAAATACAAAAAAAGGGCTGGGGATATAGCTCAGTGGTTAAGCGCCCCTGGGTTCAATCCCTAGTACGAAACAAACAAACAACAACAACAAAAAAAAAAAACCTGTTAATAAAATTTCAAATTGTACCTACGTGTTTCTATTAAAACTCTGTAATAACAGAAGCTACTATTGTTCTGATTGTTCATTCATTGTGATTATAAGATTAACATGTTTCCCCCATTTGACTGTTAGCTACATGACTCTATTTGTGCCCCCACTGTATACCTAGGTGTACACTGTATACGATAGGTTTCTACAGACTTGCTAAATGATGTGATTATGCATAGTCTTTATTTTTAAATGAGTTTCTATTTATACAAATATGGGAAAGTCTCAGGAGTGAAGGCAATTCTTAGAGCTAAGATGATGTGAATCAAGGCACCACTACTATGGCCAAACTAAGAAGATCAGAACTATCCTTGAATGGTGAACTTGAAAAACATAGCTATAAAAAAGCAATTACCACATCATGCTTCTACCCTTTATGCTGTTATATCAATCTTGGATGACTGGATTATTTTCTCTCTCTGTGTGTGAAAATCAAATGTAGATATTGTAATAAAATACTAGGAATTCAGACAGAACTGTTATAATAAATTTTTTGGGGGGAGGGGTACCGGAGATTGAACTCGGGGGGTATCCAACCACTGAGCACATTCCCAGCCCTATCTTACATTTTATGTAGAGACAGGGTCTCACTGAGTTGCTTAATGCCTCACTGTTGGCTTTGAATTCACGTTATTTCTGTCTCAGCCTCCTGAGCTGCTGGGATTACAGGAGTGCGACACTGTGCCTGGATAATCTCACATTTTCAAGTAATTATTTTTAAATATTTGTTTTTTAATTATAGGTGGACACAATAATTTATTTTATTTTATGTGGTGCTGAGGATCGAACCCAATGACTCACACCTGGCATGCCAGGTGAGCGCTCTGCCTCTGAGCTACAGCCCCAGCCCTCAAGTAATTATTGCAAGGAAATTTTATAAGCAAAGCATTTAGATTTCAAACACCCCTCCCCCAACCTGCTCCTTTAGTTTTTCTCCCTTTAATAAGAGGTCTATCTATCCAGGTCCCATCTACTCAGGACCTCCAGGAAAAAATTTTAAAAACCCAAGCATTAAGGTGGGGGTGTGACTCAGTGGTACACCGCTTATCTAGCATGCATGTGGTCCTGAATTTAATACTCAGGACTACAAAATAGAAAAAATAAACAAGCATCACCTTTGATGCATTTCTCAAATACCTAATATCCAATCTATCAGCAAGTTCTGGCTCTTCTTCCCCACCTCTGTGTTGCCACTGTTGGTCAAGCCACCATCCTCTTTCAGCCTCTATACTGGTCTCCCTGTATCTGCACTTAAACCCATATATGGTCTACTTTCCACAGAGCATTTGGGGAATTGTCTTTCAAGTGCAAGCCATCCCTAGCCACCTTGCTTAGAATCTCCTAATGGCTCCTTATGATGCTAAGAATAACAAATTACTAACTACAGCTGACAAGGCCCTACCCACTTTCCTGAGTTTAATTCCTACTGAAACACCTACTCAGCCACTCTCACACCTGAACCTTCTGTTACTGTCCTTGACATGCTGGCCTTCTTTCTGACCCTGGAATGTCCTAAGCTCACTCTCACCTCAGGGTCTTTGCATATGTCACTTTCTTTGCCTTAAACATTCTTTCCTCCCAAATAGTCACATGACTGGTTGACCCCTTATGGCCTTGGAAATGTCAGAAAGTGTAGCCTCCTTTATACCCAATTTCAAGTAAGCCCCTCTAGGTATACCCCACCACATCACTTTAAGTTTTTATTTTCTGCATGGAGTTTACTGGTATCTGAAATTAGCTTCTATTTGTCTGCTTTAGTTGTCTTACCCCCCCCCACACACACACACCAAAATAAAAGCTCCAGAACAGGAACTTAAATCTTCCTATTCATAACAGTTGTAACCTCAAGTTTCCAAAGAAATGGCTGGCCCTGCATAAGTACTCATTGTGAGCTGAAAAATGAATTAATGAATCCAACTAAGAGTCATACCACAAAAATATAATATTCCATTAAAATACCTTTTATGTTGGAAATATCAATATTGAGCTGTCCAAGTTTCTCACATGTTTTCTCTATGCATTCATAGACAGACTGCAGAATTTCCTTAGGATCTTGTTCCACCCATCTTTGAAAAAAAGGATGTGTTTGGTTAATCCATAAGAAAGCAATATAATTGTAACTAATTTCTACAAAAATGTTAACTTATGAATGCGGCTGGTGTATAAACAAAATATATCTATATCCCATAGTCTAAAGAAATGATTTAAAGAAAAGCTTTCCCTTACATTTTTATTATTCTTTGCACAGCAATCAATCATTTTAAAGGAGACCTCAAGTCCAAAAATAAGACGTATTAGTTCCCCAATTCTTTATATTCTGTGGGTTTGATGAATTTTGATAAACTATCTTCATGTTTCATTAGTTACTTCTAAGTAGATGAAAATACATTATTCTTATAAATTATATATTTTGGAATCAAAAGGAACTCATTAGTAATATATATATATATATATATATATATATTTTTTTTTTTTTTTTTTTTGGTACCAGACATTGAACTCAGGGGCA